CCAATGAGAATGCAATCACCAGAAATAACTCAACAGATATCGAGAACAGTAAGGCACATCAACTTCCTTTTAAAAATAAACATAGTAACCTAGGTTGTTTTTCCAGAAATGGTCATTTGACTGTTCAGTTATGGCTGAGGTATTGCTAAGATTTTTATACATGTAATAAAAATTAAGCCTCATGTATGCATATGTAAGAGATATTTAATCAACATAACATATATAACAATAGGACATGTAATATATAATACAAATATATAAATAGATATATCCAGTTTTGTAACTATTTAGTAAATCATGTTTTCCTTTGAATACACTATCTTCCTTTTTAGTAAAACTGAATAGAGTTGCTCAAATTCAGTTATTTCACTACCGAAATGAAATTTTTCTCATACAAGTGTCAAGAATGATTTCAAGTTTGTTTTGCTTTTTAATGAGCAATCAAAGCATATAATTTATAGTTACTGGCTTGAAGACTGTGAAAAATTGATAGAAGAGAAGACTGGTGTTTTGCGTCGATACTTTGCCTCGACTTTGAGATGCCTATCACACAATTAAAGGCTAAGCACAAGTTTCACCCCTGTGACTCACATGCTAGAGAAAACAGAACCCTTAGAGTTATCCTCTGATCTCCACACAAGTGCGATGGCATACACGACACCACATCCCAGTAAATGGATCGACATACAGACAGACAGAAAAAATAATGCCATAAGTTAAGCTGTGTGTTATCCTAATTCAATGAAAAATTAGGAAAAAGAACCAAGTGAGTAAGCTGAGATGGAGATGCCCAGGTATCTGAGGAAAGTCAGTTGCAGCTTATGAGATACCAGGGGAGAAATTTTGTTAAGTAAACAGACAGTTCAACTGCCTGTGTGTAGGTGTGAAACCAGCGTGGGGGCCAGAAGGACACAGGCAGTTTCAAAGCCATCAGGGTGGTGGAGTACTAAAGGTCACTATCAGCTCCAGTTCTTACCACTGATGTGTTCCTGAGAAAGCATTTGGAATTGTTAAAGACACTTTTTTATTGTCACGAATTGAGATTTTAGAAGGAGTCTGATGCAAGAATCTGCTGAATAGAGATCACAGATGCTATCCAGTGTCTTAAAATGGATAGGGCAGTTCCCCATGGTAGAGTCACTGGCCAATATGTCTGCAATGAAAAATGGGAAACCCTTTTGTAAAGGACTAATTTAGTACATCCTAGTTCTTCAAAGTTTATGAGGCATATAGTTGAAGTCTTATGAAATTGCATAGCTAATTCATTTACCCAATCATGTCTAATTATTACCCTATTTCTGATTATCTCTTTTGTCACAACTAAAAGGAGCACAAAAGACTCGATTGCCTTCTCCCTAAGCTTCCTGTGCATGTGAAAGCACTGAGCAGCCTAATTTATTTATACTCATGCTTGTGTTTTTTCAAATAAAATGGCCCCCAAGAACATATGTATATTTTAGTTCATAGTTTGAGAACATTTAGTATATTATATTTTTCTTTGAATTAATTTTCTTCCCTGAACATGAAACTGCATGAATTAATTTCATTAAATTGGTCAAGCTTATTAAAAACAATTTACTAGACAAAATCAACAAGGTAAAACTTTGTTCTGAAAAGCTAAAAAAAATCATGACATCATTGAAAGAAATAAAGTACATCAAAAATAATTATAGTGTGCTATGTATTGCCTGATTAGCATGTTTCATTCAAAAGAATATATTAACTCAAAAATATTTGGAATTTCTTTTTTATGCAAAGGAAATTTTGGACTTGGTCTTTTAATTAACTTCTCTGAGCAATAAAAATGAACATGAAAAATTAAATCAAAAAGAACTCTAGTCCATGAAACTAAGAAACCAATTACTACTTTTGGTCCAGATGCTCCTTATAAGTAATTTTAATTCCATATCATATGGGTCTTATCATAATTCTCAATTTATTCTTTCTTCAATGCTGCAAAAGTATCTTGTCTCCTGTCATTTTCCTGAGCGCTGACCAAACAGAGTGGGCATGTCTTTTGACTCACAGTGAATTTTTATTCTTTTTTGTTTTATTTTGTTTTGTTTTTTTTTGTTTTTCGAGACAGGGTTTCTCTGTGTAGCTTTGTGCCTTTCCTGGAACTCACTCTGTAGCCCAGGTTGGCCTCGAACTCACAGAGATCCGCCTGGCTCTGCCTCCCGAGTGCTGGGATTAAAGGCGTGAGCCACCACCCCCCGCCCGACCCGAATTTTTATTCTTAACTATTTTATTTTTCAAGAATTTCTAGCTGCTATAGAGCAGAGTTATTTTGTTAAAACACATTCAACTTCACAAAATGTATTGCCCCACCTTCACAAGAGGAATAGCAACCACAAATACATAAATGTGATACGGTAATTGATACACCTCAGGTTTCAGTTATATTTTGCAAAGCTAGTTGTATTTACGGTTATTAGTGGGAAGTGATTTATGAATAATTTGAAATGTTAACTTGCCAAAAGGGATTTTTAAATAAAACCTCACTGCTTCTCCTGTTTATGTCTGCCAGTGTTTTCCTTGTCTCCTGAATCACAGGGCACCGTTCCACTACACTGTCTCGCTTCCCTTATTTGGTGCGCTGGAATGAAAGAGCATAAGATAGGATTTCTGTGGTGCTAAGTAAATATTAAATATTATTGCTAAAACACAAGTCCTGGAATTATTGAAATAATCCTACATTCTTAAATGCGTAAATGAAAAGACGAGTCCCTCAAGGAGATCTAAGCTGGAATCTGACCACAGTCACATACATACTTTGTCATCCAGTTTACTTAGCTTCTCTGCCTTCAAGTCTTTCTCTCCCCTGACCTTACTGAGGGTGAAAGGCAATGGTCAGAGGAAAGTACCTAGCATCAACAACTGCTTCATAACCACCAGCTGTGGTGTTCTTTCAATGTACAGTAAGTTGTGGGTTACATAGTGATATGTATGTATTAGATAGCCAAAAACTGCCACTAATAATTAATAGATAATGATTTTTGCTCCATTTTCTTAGAGAAACATGTATTGAAAAAGATGTGTTAGGGGCTGGAGAGATGGTTTAGTATTTAAAAAGCACTGGCTAATCTTCCAGAGGACCCCCAGGTTTAATTCCCAGAATCCACGTGGTAACTCACATGCATCTGTAACTCCAATTCCAGGAAATCTGATACCTTCTTCTGGCCTCCATGTATGTGGCCAGGCACACACATTGTGCAGAGATATGCATGTAACTGAACATTCGTACATATAAATTAACTTTCAAAAAAAATTTTTTAAAAAAGAAAGATGTGTTAGAAGCATGGTTAGTTTGAAAGACAACTGGTATGGTAGGAAGTATATTGGAATATATTTTTTTTATTTATTGCTTGAAAGCAATAAATATATACTTACACACACACAACATTTTATTCAAAACAGCTCCCACTTCCTCCCTACCATTCCATGCATACTTCCCACCAAGTTTCATGTACTCTTTTTAAAAAAAAAATAATAATAAAACCTCCCCGAGTCTGTTTGGTGTTGTCACTACAGGAGTAGGTATAGAACCATGGCACACACAAGAACCAACAGCAGTTCTAACTGCTTGTATAAGAACAGCACAAGATCGAGTCAGCCAAAGTTCCTCCAAGAATGAAAGGAGGGCCCATGGAAATTTACACAGAACTGAAGAGCTATCGGCAGTTGATGGATAGATACCTCGAGAGAGAATGTCATTATTCATCAGTAATTCAGCTCCTGATACATGATATTTTCAGTGTTTGTCAGAGTACAATTCAAATATTATAGGATTTAGGAAGAAAAAAAAATTGAGCTAATAGATAATACTTCGATGAAAAAGATAGGATAGTATATATACATTTTCCAAGAAAATTTAGTTCTCCTGGAATTTACAGAAACAAGAGAGGTTGAAAATAGAAAAAATTGGAAGGAATTGCAGGGTGGGTGGAATAGAGTGTAGGGTCAAAGTGCTTTGAAAGAATCTGGTAAACACTTTCAAGTAAAGTGGCTCAATAAAGGTTAACTAAAAAAAATCTGTACACTTCCTATGTACAAATGGGAATCAAACTAAAAATGAAATCAGGGAAGCAACACCATTCACAATAACCACAAATAATATAAAATATCTTGTGTTAACTCTAACTAAGCGAGAGAAAGACTTGTATAGTAAAACCTTTTTATTTTTGCAGAAGAAAATTTAAGAAGATATCAAAAGATGGAAATATTTTTCATGCTCATGGATTCGTACAATTAACAGTAAAAATGGCCATCCCACCAAAAGCAATCTACAGATTCAAAACAACCACCATAAAAATTCCAACGCAATTATTTACAGAACTTGAAAGGACAATATTCAGCTTCATATGAAAAAACAAAAAGCCCAGAGTAGCTAAAAGAAAAATTGTGAATAATAAAAGAACTAGGAGAGACATCACCATCTTTGGTTTCAAATTGTACTGCAGAACTATAAGAATGAAAACCACGTGGTATTTACATAAAAACAGACAAGTTGGTCATTGTAGTAAAATTGAAGACCAGGAAGTAAATCCACACACCTGCATACCTGTGAACACCTGATTTTTGATGAAGAAGCCAGAAATACACACTGGCTGGGGGAAAAAAAAGCAGCTTTAACAAATGGTGCTGGTCAAACTGGATATCTACATATAGAAGAATGCAAATAGATCCATATTTATAACTCTGCACAAAACTCAAGTACAAGTGGATCAAAGACCTCAACACAAAACCAGACACACTGACCTTGATAGAGGAGAAAATGGTGGATAGCCTTGAACACGTTGGCACAGGAGGGAACTTTCTGAACAGAACACTAATAGCACAGACACTAACAACAATCAGTAACCGGACATCATGAAACTGAAACGTCTTCTGTAAGGCAAAGGACACTGTCAATAGGACAAAATGACAGCCTACAGAATGGGAAAAGATTTTCATCAACTCCACATCTAATACAGGCTGAAATGGCTCAGAAACAAACAAACAAAAACATTTTCAACATTCTTCACAAATTTGCATGTCATCCTTTGGAAGGGGGCAATGCTAATCTTCTCTGCATTGTTCCAATTTTAGCATATGTGCTGCCGAAGTGAGCACAAAAGTCAGGGGAGAGTAGTCTGAATTGGGTTATGAGATCTCCGAGGTACCTCCCCTCAGCCATTGAACTCACTCTACCTGACTGTGAGTCTGTTCCAAGTTCCAGCGGGCTAGGGAGGCATCCGCCCAGTGGGGCCTCTCCTCATGTTCAACATTCTTAGCTGGCATAGCCATATCAAGTAAGCAGGGAACACATGGGCTCACAGAGACTCAAGTAGTAAGCTTGGGGCCTGCAAAGGTCTACACCAGGTCCTCTGTGTATATGTGATGGCTGTTTGCTTGGTGGTTTGTGATACTCCCAACAGTGGGGGGAGCAGGTGTTTCTTTGACTCGTTTGCCTGCTCTTGAGACAGACTCCTTTCCTCTTACTGGGTTGCCTAGTCCAGTCTCAATAAGAGGACTTTTGCCTTGTCTTGCTGTATCTTGTTTAGTCTCTTGAGGGGACTGCTGTTTTCTGAAGGATGCAGAGAGGGAGTGGGTTTTGGGAGGAGAGGGGAGGAGCTAGGAGAAGTGGAGGGAGGGGAAACTGTAGTTGGGATATTTTGTATGAAAGAAGAATTTATTTTCAAAAAATAAAAGACAGAAGAGCTCTAGCTTCAGAAGCATTTAAAAGTGAGTGCCTGGAGTGTGAAAGTTGAACACAGAATTTTAGATAGTGACTACGGCTGCCATACACTGCCTTATACTGGCTAGAAACAAGAGAAGCAAGTCATAACATGAGTAAGAAGAAAACTTAGAAGTCATTATGAGACAGAAACATGTAAATGCTGCCTTTTATAGTGAAGAGCAGTAATTTTTGCAGTGAGAGAAAGAGAATGTCAATATATTATCCATGAACTAACTTGATGTTTGGAGATAGGCTATTTTCTTAGGTATGTTCTGAGGATAGAGAGTTAAAATTATGGTCTGTATTAGTACATGTATGGTTTCTAGAAAAGCAGAATTTAGCAATGTAGTTCCTTACTTGCTTGCTAGCTTACTTTCCTGATCTTGGGTCTGATGTTGGTTCTCTGGAATTCTGAGATGTTTAAATTGTTATTCATATCTGAAATGTGTCCCAAGTCTCACTTGTTAAAAGTATGCTTCCCATTTGAAGTTACCTTGAAGAGGAGGGGATTAGGGGTATGGCTGGAGGATAGAATTTGCTATTGTGGTATCCTTGAGTCTCTCTTTCTCCCCATCCCTCCACCTCTCCCTGTCTTTCTGACTCCTTCTTGGCCATCACAATGTGAGCAAAAGTCCTCTGTCACATACTATAGCCACTATGGCCTGCCACGCATAGGCCTAAAAACTATAGGACTGAGTTAGTACTGACTGAGAGCTTTGAAACCATTAGCAAAACAAAACTTCCCTTCACACACACACACACACACACACACACACACACACACACACACACACACACACGGTGATATTTTATTTGTACTAAAATGTGATTTGTATGTTAATAAATAAAGTTGCCCGGGGGTCAGAGCTATTAGCAAACCATAGCAGAAACTGGGCGGTGGTGGTGCACGCCTTTAATCCCAGCACTTGGTAGGGAGAGCTAGGTAGATCTCTGTGTGTTCAAGGATACAGCCAGCATGGAGACACATGCCTTTAATCTGGATACCAACCATAGAAGACCTGGAGGTCTGTACAGACAGGCATTGACTAGGAGGTTATGTGGTTGGGTTTGCAACCAATGAGAAGGCAGAACAGAAACACTATAAAAAGACAGACACACAGGAAGTAGCTCTCTTTTGGAGAGGTAGGACCACAGCGACAGTGAAGGGTAAGGTTTTCAGCTCTTAGCTATTGCTCTGACCTCTTGGCTTTCATCTCTGTATTGGCTTTGTGTTTCTTATTTAATAAGAGGGTTGGTTACATCTACACACACACACACACACACACACACACACACACACACACACACACGCATGCAAAATTTTCAACCCAGCTAACTACCCAGGGCTAGTGGATCTTGGAGGAGAACCTAGAATCACTGCTTTATTAAATCCACATAATCCTTAACTGCATTCTAAGTATTTTCCCGTATGCCCACAGATAAGTGTATTCCTTACCTCTTATATGTACACATTTACAATTCAACTCCCTCACCTAAGGCTCTGGGATCATTGTGGCAAAATATTGTTAGAGCCAGAAGGACAGGGATTTTGCAGTGAGAGTGTATCTCCCAGGAATGTTAAAAGCTGTGTACATAAACACTTATCAACATAACAATAGAAAAAACCCTAGTGTCCTCCTGAAGAAAGGGAGGCAGGATCATACAAGCCAGGGAGGGTCAAGGTCATGACAGATAACCCACAGGGACAGCTGACCTGAGCTCTTGGGAGCTCATGGACTCTGGAACCACAGTTAAGGAGCCTGCATGGAACTGACATAGGCCCTCTGCATGTGTGTGACAGTTATGTAGCTTGTTCTGTTTGTAAGACTTCTCGAAGTGAGATCAGGACCTGTCCCTGTTGTTTAGCTGTCTTTTGGGAACCTGTTCCACATGCTTGCCCAGCCTTGCCCAGCCTTGCCCAGCCTTGATACTGGTGGAGGAGGGGGCATGGTCCTGCCTCAACTTGATGTATCATGCTTTGTTCAAGCCCATAGGAGGCCTGCCCCTTTCTGAAAGGAGACAGAGAAGGAGTGGATGGGGAGGGAGATAGATGGGAGGGCAGGAACAGGAGGAGAGGAGGGAGGGGAAACTGAGTTTGGCATGTAAAATAAATGAGAAAAATGTTAATTAAATAAAAAAAAAGACATGATACCATGAATATGAGAAAGCCCACAAAGGCTAAACTCCACACAAAGAACTACAGGCAACCAAGCAACTAAGGAATGCTGAGTGTGGAAGAAATAATCTCCAGGGAAGAGTATGTCAAATGTGGAGCCATGAAGATATTCATACAGACTAAGAAATTTATATTTACATATTTAGGAGTGTAGGTATATGTAGATTCACACACATGTACACCTACATAACAACTAATGAAAAAGTCATTGAATTTGAAAGAGTAGGGAGGGATAGGGTGTATGGGAAGGTTTGAAGGGAGGGAAGGGAAGAGGAGGAAATTAGATAGTTATATTTTATATCAAAGATAAAAGAAATATTTTTTTAAATATTGTAACATCAGAACTGAAAAATAAAAAATTTAAAAATTAAGAAAAAAATTTAAAATATCAGGTATTTTGTTACAGTGATGAGATGATATCTAACAGAGATATATTTTCATCAAAATATTTATCCTTTCATATCATGAGTCAGTACATAATCAAAAGTAAAATCATCATGAGATACAAACATTCTGAATTAAATATCTAACATCACTGTAAAATATAACACTGCTCATTTTCCTAAGGCAAGACATTCATTAAGGGATCATCTGTAAATAATGTCATAACTTGACAAATAAAGTAGAATATATTCTTAACATAAATATTCCACAAAATAACAAATTCTTGTTAGTGGAAGAAAATATCAGTATATATAGGTCAGACTGTTAATGAGCAACTCTACAAGAATGAAAATAACAGCAAATGTTTAAAGGCAGGAATGTTCTAGAATATGATAGGTGCTGATACTTAAACATACAAAGATGAATCATAGGGTAACCTCTCAATTTATTAGCCGGGGAAAGTTCAGCTAACCAAGACATTTCAGCAGAATCATTAAGAGCTGATTTCCCTGACTGTTCAGAAACAGATACCTAATGAGTATACGTGATGAGCACATCCTTTGACCATTTTAAAGTAATTTAAATTTGGATTAAACTTAAATTGAAGCTACTTTTCTAATCACTGTGCCCTTTTAAATTCAAATAGAATATCGTCATGAGCAGTGTTGACAGCTGAAGACAGAATTTTCCACTAAGAGGAGATAAACCTTCTTTTAATAAGAAGGAAGTAGCATAAAATTAAACAAGTTTGCTAACAAAAATATGATAATTTAATATTTGTTTTAGTGTAGTTACTCTGGAATCTTTCAAAATATGTTTCTCAAAATATTGCAAATATAAAGATATACAAAAAGTCTTCTATGTGGTGACAACTATATTGTCTACCAGATTTTTCTAATATCAGACATACTCAATATTGTAAAAATTACCCCAGTTATAAATAATGTCCATACTATCTAACATTTAGTGACTGTCAACAGTGTTAGATACTATACCAACCTCTTTAAAGGTATTTAATTTCAATTTTAATTTAGTTCATTTCATTCTAATTATACAATGAAAGCAATATTGTCACACTAATTTGACAGATGTTGAATGCAATGTTTAAATAGACTGGGTAGCTTGTGTGGGGCATCTGCTTGGACAGAAGTACAAAACCCCCATATAATGTCTAAACTGAGGTTCTGCCTGGTCTATGAGGCTGTCCTCATGCCACGTACTTACCAATCAGATCCTCAAAAACAAAATTAGGATGAATGGAAAAACCAGGCCAGATAAGAAAAAAGAATACATTTGGCATCAACCTAAAACATGTAGACTCATGAGTTCATTAGCTCATACCAATCACAGGGGACTTACCTTCTAGCCTGTGCTGCACGCACCGCCCCCCCCAACCCAGGAGATGCTTTGATGTTAATAATCAATGATATAAACTCAATATAATTAAATATAAACATGTAAATCCTCTCTCATACCAGATACATTTCTGTTACTCAGAAGTCTCATACAGGTGGTGGCCATTGTTTTGTGTGCTGAAGACGCTGGAGTATTATTTTATTATCATAGAACATTTACTGTAAAGCACTGACAATTTAAATGCCCAGAATCAGGACAAATAATATGACTTTTCAACTTTGTATCTTCAAACTGACAGATGCTTCCTTAACATGTTTGATCTGTACGACAGTGCAGCAACAGCACTGGAATGGTATATGGGATCAAAACACAATGCAGGGCTTTGCTTTTTAAAGACATTAACTAGAAAATATGTCTACGATAGGTAACAATATTCAGTGACAATGACCAACTTCAAATTAATGAAAGTAGAGAAAG